ATATATATATGCAGCTGTGTTATGTTTGAATTCTCATAATTGTGAATAATGAAAGCAGTTTGATAACTTTTCAAATTACTGGTTGAATCAACAAAACCTCTTTCGATAACTTTGCTTGTTATATCACTCCTCTCCACTTCTATTATTTTGCATTGCATTAAAATTATATATATATATATATATATATATATATATATATATATATATATATATTGCTAGGCCCCTAAATACTGATACTGTAAATTTCTATATTTTATTTAAATAAAATTATAATTTATCATCATAGTTGGTATAAAATATTATATAATAATAATAAGAAATGGTAGTCTGTCCAAAGGCAGGTCCGTGGTGTGAGAGCCACCAAAAATAAATGATTCCCTTACTCTTTGTCTATCACCACCATCCCCCTCCCTTTTTCGTGTATTTGCGTTTCCAAACTTCTGCTTCCATGCTTCTTGATCCTGTGCTTCGGCTTTTAGTCCCCTGTACTTTCTCTTCTCGTGTAAGTTGTCAATCATTTGCATTCTTCTTCTTCCCAGCGCTTTTTTTCCTTCTATAATACCCTCGACGACGTCGTGCAGGAGGCACTCGTTTTGCAGAAGAGGTCCGATCTAGTTTCCTTTTCTTCTCAGAATTGTGCTCAGTAGAGTCTTTTCTTTATTCACTCTTCTCAGGACTTCTTCGTTTGTTATTTTGTCTGTCCATTTTATCTTCTCCATTTGTCTCCAACACCACATTCCAAAACCCTCGAGGTAAAAAAAAAATACATTAGTTATTAAGTGTCACATAATAAATATGCTAAACATAGTATCTATAGGATGTTCCTAATTTAAAAACACAAAACCGTATAGAAACAGCAGTCCATTTACCTTAAAAAAATATGACAAATCAAACAAAATTTCATCTTATTTATATCATTTGATTTTTAAAGTGTATAAATCCAACTATATTTACTATAATTTTTCATGTATAATGTTTTTTTTTCGAATAATGATGCCTTAAATTAAAAGTCGAAACGTGTTCATCCAATCAGAGCTAACTATGATAAAACAGTGGCGACATCTAATATGTTTTGTGTGGTACGCTATCATAGTTTCACACCCATGCCATTGGATTCCCCAGATGGAGACACTGTTGCTTATTTAAGTACTAATCATAGGGGATAAACTTTATATATTATTGGCCTTAGATAATCGGTTGAATTATAAAAATTCCTCTAAGTTTTGAATTTCGTCGCGCGATTAAGGGGTTCTAATCAGAATCTATGCCGAACCATATGTACATTCTTTAGTATTTTGTTGGTAGCTACTGATTACAGTTGATGTCCACTTTATAAAAAAAGTATATTTTCAGAACGCGAAATGCATGAAATGAAATGTGTTGAACAAATTAATATAATTTATACAATTACATATATTATAAGTATGTTTCAAAGACAAAATGGAAATCATAATTATTATTTTTTAGTGAACGAAACAATTTCATTTTCGAAATAAAATTGAACATTTTACCTAAATACCTGAATCTCTATTTTTATTAGTTAAGTTAATTATGTATGCTAGGGTGGTCCTTGATACGGATATTTTCGATTTTCCTTGCTCCCAGGGGCTCAAATGCCTCCAAATTGATAAAAAAAAAAATTCTGAAAGTTCTAGCTCTTTATATTAACTCTAACATAGTCCGCACTCCGATCAAAGTTTCTTGGTTCTTCTTCCTAAGTAAATACTTATTTTATAATAAATATCAAAATTTTTTTGTAATTTATTTATTAATGATCAAAATAAGCAAATACAATGTTATTCTCAAAATTTTGATTCACTTGTCGGTAAGTTATAAAATTCTAAAGAACAAATGGAATTTTACCCATGTTATTTCCATAAGAAACTTTGATTGGAGTGCGGACTATCTCAAAGTTATTATTAAGATCTAAAACTTTCAGAGAATTTTCTTTCATCAATTTGGAAAAACTTGCGCCCCTGGGAGCAAAAAAATTCGAAAGCATCCATATTAAAAACCACCCTAATAAAAAACAAGTTCTATCCTACATTCTTAAATTTTATCGAATATTGCAAACACAATTATTCAATTATTATTATTACAGTCTCTGTAAAAATACTATTAATTAAATAATATAAATAAATTAATTAAATAAAACACTTAAATGTTTATAATTACATTTTTATTAACTAAATACTTTGGTTTCATATTCAATATATATTTATATATATTATAATTATTCTTACGTATAGAGCAATTTGTTGTTGTTATAACATTTTATAAATAATAATAACTTAACAAACTAATTGTAGAAACAAAAATAATTGAGTATTAATATATATATATATATATATATATATATAAAAGTAAATTTATGGAACATTTTGTTAATTTACAAGGAATGCGTTTCGAAGCTTACAATTTTCTTACCAGTAAATTTTGTGCATCTTTATATTTAAAAAAAAAGGTAACAATTTAAAATTATATTTGTTCTATTGTAAATTTTTGTTGATGACCTTCTAGTTACCTTTTTGACTATTTAAAGCTTAATATTTAATATTTACAAGCAAAAGCACACACATATACACGAAGAGAATGCAAAAATATATTTTTATTTATTTACTAGTCTACAACTTTCTTTTTCAATTTTAAATATTATCGATACACTGTACAGGGTACCCATATGAATGTAGTACTTGATGAAAAGTGTATCGTGATAATATTAAATGTTCTATGAGATTCTTATAAATATATTAATATTTAAATATTTTATATATACAAGTATAATTGGTCTCTTAAATTATATATAATAATAATTATGTACAAGTGTCATACTCTGTGTATCCGACTAAGTTTAAAATAAATTCTTAACAGCTACTTTCTTGTAATAATTCGAGTAGAAATAAATAAATAATAGTTGAAATTATATAAATAATGTATTTACAGTAAAATTGTATATATATATATATATATATATATATATATATATAAATGACTATTACTAAATAGTGGTTTACAGTAGGAAGGTGAAAATTTAGGGCTGAATGTATTTTTTAATTACCAATTATAAATAAGTAAAATAAAAAAAAATGGTTCAAAATCTAAATAAAAGAAGATCTTAACAGTGGACAACCCTTACTGCGTCGATTTTGATTAATATAAATAAGTATACACATTTATTTATACGTTTTGACACTAAATGTGTGTCATCCATATAAAATATTGAATACAATAACAACAAAATTATTATTTTTTATTTAAAGTAATATGAAAAGTTACTAAAATAATTGGTGAAATGTTTTATTGGTATTATTTTTAATGTATGTATGTATCGATGTGTATGTATGTGTATGGATGTGACTGTGTATCTATGGATATGTATTTGTGTATGTATGTATGAATGTATGTGTGAGCCAATTTTTTCTTTCTTATTTTGACAGTGCTCTTAGATCTGTTGTTTAATCCAAAAAAATATAAAAAAAATAATGAAATAGGCATTTGTGGTAAGAAGGTGGAAATTTAGGACTCCATGTGTTTAAAATACATTTTGTAAGGATTTGAAATAATAAACTTATACAAACAGAATTACCTTCTCAGTTTATAAAGTGGATTGCAACGATTGTATTGGAAATACTTCTCAATATATTTAAAAAAAAAATCAAAATATTTATAGTTCTAAAAATCCAAAACAATTCAAAACTATGTTTTCTGAACATATGTTACATTTTTAATACAAAACATACTGTCATTCTAGATAAAGAAAAAAACAATTGACCTTTGAAATGTTAAAATGTTTTATTGATATTATTTTTAATGAATGAGACCAAAATTGAAAAAAGTTTGTGTGTGTGTATGTATGTATGGATGTATATGTGTACATTTGTATCGATGTGAGTGTGTATGTGAGCCGATTCTTTCTCTTGTAATTTTGAAAATGCTCTTAATTCTGTTGTTCAACCATAAAGTATATTTTAAAAAAAATTAAATAGGAACATTTGAAACGGAAGTGAAAATTTAGGACTGTATGCGTTTAAAAGCCGGCGGCTCCGGCGGCAAAATGATGATTTCAGAATTCGCGAGTGGAAAGGGTTAAAATAAAAAACTTCTACAAATAGAATGACCTACTACTCAGTTTACAAAGTGGATTGCAATGACTGTATTGGAAAAAAAAGATCTTGGAAAAAATATTTTAAAAAGAATCAACATATTTATAATTCTAAAAATCCAAAACAATTCAAAACTATGTTTTCTGAACGTATGTTTAATTTTAAACAAATTTTTAATACAAAACGTACTATTATTTTGATAAAGAAAATAATAACAATAAAGAAAAAAAAAGTTGACCTTAAAAGATTTGCAAAATCTTGTTTCATTTATTTTATTGAAATCTGGCTGGTATTAATGAACCTAACTCTTCTTCAAATTTAGTTTAAAAAAATTAATTAACGTCTTTAAAAAAATTTCTTTTTTTGGGCAGTCTTTGGACAGTCGATTTTGTTTTTTAAAAGTTACTTATTCATCCAGTCATACATGAATTTATTTATTTAAAAGCAAAAAATTCGCTATAATTTTGACTTTATTGAATTTTTATCTTTTGATATACTTCTCTATTTATTTTGTTGTTATTGTGTTCATTCATTATAATTATATTTTAGTTGGATGATGGCACAAATCTTGTGTCGAAACGAGTATAAATGAATAATCAGATACATATATTTCTTTCTTTCGGAAAAAAATGGATACATACATGAAAAAGAAATTTAATAGGTAACATAAATTTTAAAAAATCAAAGTAAAGTCGTGTGCGAAAAATTTCTAGAACTCTTCTAGCAAAACAAGAATGTATATTTGCTATATTATACATTATACATATTTACAGTCGTAATATCGTAATATTCAAAAATTGGTTCTCAAACAGCTTTTCAAAAATCTTCTCAAAAATTCGTTCCACCTTCAAAAATCAATGGTTTTCTTTCACTTACGATAAATAAAAAAAAATCTGTTCCACCTACAATACCAATGGCTTTCACTAGTGAAAAATAAAAAAGATATTCAGAATTAATTCGCATTACTAAAAATCTGATTCGAATCAATGTATTTATCAAAAATATTAGTGTTTTGCGAACGATTTCGCGCTCAGCTCTCACTCTAATACACGAGTGCAAACGGTAAAGAAAATCTCTTGATTCGAATCGGAAATTGGGTGACTCGAACGATTCGATACATTTCGATTCGAATCAGAAATTGGTTGATTCGAATTCTAGTTTGAAAAAAGTGCAATATTTTATTTGAATCAAGCAAAAACTTTTGAATCGAGAAAAGTTCCATTTGAATCAAGAAAAGTTCGATTTGAATCAATAAAAGTCTGATTCGAATCGCGTCAAATATGATTTGAATCGAGTCTGAATTAAAGTGAAGTAAAAACTGATTTGAATCAAGTTAAATCTGATTGAATCAAGAAAAGTGGGATTCGAATCGCGACAAGTATTTTTTGAATGCCTTAAATTGATTCATATCAAGTAATATCCTATTAAAAAAAAAAAAATCGATTTCGCAGTGATTCGAATCAATTTATTCGAATTTTCCCATCACAATATTTTACCTCCTGACTATCCTTTATCTTACATCTTCCTATCTCTAAAAAATCCGATTTCCGTCTTGCACTCCCTGATCGTGACGGTGGACTGCTGTCCTCCCATGTTGACCGTCACGTCTGTGATGAAAACTTGGTCAGCAACAGGAGTCCTCGTCAACCAGAATTCTGCAGGAGTCAAGGGCCTGCCAGGGCCGAATCGGTTCAACTTCGCTCCACAACTCAGAACCTGTTGATTCTGGTTGGTCGGTTTTAAAATACCGTCATCGAGGTTGTTGTTATTATTGTTATTGTTGTTGTTGAGGTTCAGGTTCATTGAGGGGGTTAGGATTTTCTTTGTGGTACCTAAGGGAAAGGATAGTTGATTATTGATTAAACTAGACGTTATTGGCACAAATCTTTATGAAATTTTTTGCTATTTTAAATATTTGATACATAAAGTTGCATAAAGACCAAAAAAGTTGGTCTTTCTATCATTTACCCTTACCGTTGCTATCAACTGGTGGCACATCAGCCTCCTGTCCAATCTTCTTTCCATTATACAAACTAGGCGTCGCTGGTGCAACAGCATCTCCGCTCCCACTTTTGTTCTTATTAACATCACTAACATCACTAACACTTTTACTACCAAACTCTCCTGCACCATGTTTGGACGAACTCTTATCATTACTAGAAACATTGTTATTAGCACTACTGGTGGTGATCGTGATTCCAATCTTTCCTGATTCCTTGGAAGGACTTCCACTTTTCGTTTCTTGGCCTGATGATGATGATCGGAGACTGCCTGAAGGATTGGACGATCCTCGCTGGAGTCGGAGTCGTTGCCCAGGTCATCGTCAGGGGTAGATAAGGACTTTGGCGGGTCGGGGTTCAACTCATGGCGCTGGTGGTTGTGAACTGAAAGGGTAATTGATTAGTTTAGACAGGTCGTTTAGGAGTATACTGAGTAAAGGACAATGTTGTTGATCATTTTACCTTTACTATGTTCCTTATCCCGATTCTCTTTCCTCTTAGGACCACGTTTAGCTCCTTCTTTCACCAAACCTCCTGCACCAGACGCACCATCCTTGGCTCCAGAAGGAGTGCTGGTTGTGGAGGACTCTTTGCCACTACCAGCTCCATCTTTCAGACTCTGCGTCTGCTCGTGGTACATGTGGATAAGACGGTTGTCCAGGATGTTCTCCTCTGGTTCCCATGTGGAATGCTTCTGGCCCCAGCCTTGCCATTTGACCAAATACTCTGCTTTACCCTGGGGGAAGGTAATTGATTAGGAGATTCAATGGTAATATATTGATACATCTGAGAAGAGATGAAAGATCGCGGCATTCACGAGGAGGAGGATGCCACTGACGAGTAAACTGACTTGCGGAAGAAGCCAATAAAGTGTTGTTTTCTGGAGCATAGCTCTGTACGGATTAGAGACATGGACTGTACGATAGGCTCTCAAAAACTATATGGATAGTTTTAAAATGCGGTGCAAGAGACGAATGTAGAAGACTAAGGGACCGATTCTGCCGCATAACAGACAAATGTTATGGCAAGACCATGTTACGTTCCAACTTCCATACATTATGCTACTGAATCATACTGAATACTGTCTAAATGTCATGTGTTTGCTGTGCATTCAGGCGTTTTATACATAAACTGCAACGCCACTTGTATGTTATGAAGCTGGTCAGAAAGACCCGGTTATATAACATCAGTTTTTTGACATTTGTGAGGTTTGTAGGTTATGCTTTCTATCAGACAACCTGAGAAAAACGCCTGAATACAAGGCAAACACATGGCTTTTGTCAATATTTAGTATGGAAAGTTCTTTATAACATAGTCTTGCCATAACATTAGTCTGCTATGCGGCAGAATCGGTCCCTAAATGGACAAATAAGATCACAAATGAAGAAGTAGAGTCGGAGAAGAAATGATTCGTACTAAGCACAATCATCGAACGAAAAGGAAACTCGATCGGACACATATTGTAAGAACAGTGTCTGCTGCACGTGAATTAGAAAGTATGGAAGGATTAGTATTATATATACTTTTGCAACATTGCAACGATTCAATTACTACCATCAATCAAATGTCAATTTTAAAAGATGGGTCATTGCGGTTCTGGCGAAATTGATGATAATTATTAGCACATTTATTAGCCCAGACCCACCGGTCTTCCGCGGCCCTACCTACGCCTCGGGTCGTTTCCAGCTAGAAAATATTAAAAAACTAGGGAGAAGGAGAATGTAGATGATTGAATGAACTGAAAGGAAATGTGAATATGATAATAATAATCAAAGAAGGGGGAGAAAAATCCTTGATTCTCGCATATCATGGATCTGTCTTCGGACACAATACTTATAATACTAATATCGATATATAAATGTATATTTTACAAACTTACCCTTCTAGTTCGTTTCTTCAAAATCTTCTCAGCCGCATAAACGCGGTCACCAGCAGCTCCAATTTCCATTTTATTTTTTTAAACAAATTCAAAAATTGATTCGACAAAAAAATCACATTTTTTAAACACTTTCACAAACACTTTTGTAAAAGCACAATCTTTTGTTTAAGTCATAACTTGGGTAAATGTCTAGATAAAACTATTAGTTATAATAACTGAGAACATACATTTAGTTTTGGATAGAAATTGTTTTAGTCAAATTACATCATTAGGACGTAATTTAATATTTATTATTATTTATAACAATAAAATGATGTAAATAATTTGTTTATTATTACTCTTTTGTTTTATTTATTTTTTATTTTTTTTTTAACTCAGCAGGTGCCACCACAGTTTGATTCTTATCTCAAATTCTTGGTTCTTATCTCAACTATGCGCCACCACTACTTTTTATTATTTAATAAATAATTGTAACTAACTTTACAACAATTAATATTAATTAATAATATTATTTTTATTGTAGTTACTTTACAATTTTTGTGGTTTTTGACGAACTGACAATGTTGTGTCCTAGTTGTTGATGTCTGGAAGGGTTTTCAGGACCCCTTGGTTTTAATTTTAATAAAATAGGGTTGCTCCTAGTTGAAGGTCTGGAATAAAAAATAGAAAATAAATACATACATACATGTATAAATATATATATATATATATATATATATATATATAAATTATGCGGGTATTTATATCACTAACAACGACTTTCACACGCTGTGGGACTTTCAAGTGCATTTTTAAAACTTTAAAACTATTTTATAATTTCAATTGTAATATATAAATAAATATATTACCTATATATTTAATAGAACCCCGTTAAGACGATTTTGCTGTACCTAAAACGCGTCTTAGGCGGGAAATTGTATGAATTCATATGGAAACAATGTGTTTCAAAGTGCAGGAAGGTAAAGTAGCGTTTTATGCGATAAATCGTGTGAGAAATAATCGTTCATTTTTAAAAACTTATGGATTAAAATATATAATAAATATTTTACATATATATCCAGTCAAACCCCGTTAAGACGATTATTATTAGCACGATTTCTCGCATAAAACGCCTCTTTACGCGGATCCCTGCACTTTGAAACATATTGACCCAACCTGGCATTATACACATTTTTGCTTAAGACGCGTTTTTAGTCCGGCAAAATCGTCTTAACGGGGTTTTAATATGTATATATATAATATTAAAGACAGTTTTAAATAACTTACTAAATTACAAGTTTGTCTAAGACAAGACTGTTTTTTATTTGAAAAGCTTTTAAATTATGATATATTACATGTATACAGTAGAACCCCGTTAAGACGATTATTCCTATCAAAATTTTCCGTATGAAACGCTATTTTACGCCGGTTCCTGCACTTTGAAACATATTGTACCTATATAATATATACACATTCCCGCTTAAGAGGCGTTTTTAGTCCAGAAAAATCGTCTTAACGGGGTTTTATCGTATTTATAATTTTAAAGACAGTTAATTAAAATAATTTAATAGAGTACAAAGGCTATGGGCGCATTGCCATACAGAATCGGCCCCACCCTGGTATTTAAATAATTTATACGCCATTTTATAGGTCTAAATGGTAAAAACAGATATACCAATTTTCAACTTTGTACCTCATCTTATGGCCGAGATATCATTGAAAATATGCCAAAGTGGCCCCTTCTTTCAAACTCACTTTTTCGCGTAACCATAAAAGATATCGAAAAAATTTTTACGTGATTCTACTCACATTGACTCAGACCACATTATGTAGAACAATCGATTCCAAAAAATCGTTTACTATTAGCTGAAAAAGACAAAATAATTTTTCAACTGATTATTTCGGGTAGTGCATTTATTTGGACCACTTTCTAATTAGCGTTATTCGAAAGCCCATTGTTTTTTCTTTGAGTACTGCAAATATTGTTCAAATCAATTTGGTGGAACACACTGGAAAATTGAAAAAACCGGAGCCAGTACACCCGCGCATAACGCTAATAGTACCCTGCAATTGCATAGAGTTCGTTCGGACGCAAAGCAGTGCGCGAAGCGCCCGAAACGATTCTTCAGAAATTCTGAATGCGAAAATATTTATTTTATAGTTATATGTATAAATATAAAGTAATGATATAATGAAACATTGTAGTTTCAACAAATCCAAGAAACTTTTTTTTGAATGATAGTTGTAACATTGTGAAAATAAAGCCCTTATTGCGACCAATCAGTACTACAATACTAAAAAGAATATGATAAATGGCTATCAGAATTTTTTTGCGTTTTTATTATTTAAAGTTCTTATAAAATATTCGTCATTTAATGTAGAAGTTTTTTTATATAGTACTTCAGTAATTTACAAAAATTATTACTGAAAGTATATAAAATATATGTATTAATCAAATTATTTCGAAAATTATATTATTTATATAATATTTGTATTTTATGTGTGGTTTATGCGAAAGATCGTGTTTTTTAGCTAATTTTGTATTAGCTAATTCGCATCTACTTATAATATAGTGATTGTAGTACTTATAATATAATGCATTTAATTTCAGTGTATATTTTTAACTTTCCGTAGGGTAAGTTATTGTAAATAAAAAATCGCAATCGAAAATGTTTGCACATCTTCACGTTTCGAAGGTTTCTGAACATTTTGAAATACAATAGAAAAAATGGATATGTGTGTCTGTGTATTTGTGTTATATTTCGTGTATGAATGTGATAAAATTTTTCGTTCACGATTTCTTGAATAATTCAAAGAACATTCGATTCCTACTGATGGAGAGACGTAATGATTAGTTTTTCATAAAGACAGGTCGGAGATACAGAGCAAAGATAGAAACCGAGTTTTTAAAGAAACGAAAAATCCGATTTAAATGATTCAAAAATGTTGCTTTTTTGGACGACAAGATTGTTTTTCAAAAAAAAAAAACAAAAAAAAATTTTTTTTGTTAATTCTCTTTTTTTAATATAAAAAATAATTCGAATCGAATAAATAATTTTAACTTTGCCATTCAGTTCATGCAATTCTTAGAAATACTTTTCAGGCAAACATATTTAAATGTCATCGTCCAATTTATAAGCATTTTTATTTTGTCTACAAATTCCAATAATAAAAGTTACAGTATTTATAATAATATATTAATAATAATATAATTGAATTATAATAATATAATTGAATGCTTTCATTCAATAATTTTTCGAATATTTCATTACAACGCGGGAAGTTCCAGCAATTTGCCTTAAGGCACAATGCCATGACCACTAGTTTATAATCTGTCATTCAACAGTTGGCGCCAAAAAATAAACAGTGTCGCCACCGCACGTCCCTTTGCAATACCAACCTTGTAAAACCAATCCGAAACGTCAACCGGCAACATTAAAACAAAAATACTATTAATCATATATTTACGATAATAAAATTCTACGAAATTTATATAAGTATAATAAATATTTATTTATATTTATATTCGAATTACGATAGAGAGAAATATTCAGTTCGTTTTATTTAAATGTTTTGGTGTCCTTGAAGTCGGTGTGTGCGCAATGCACAAACTAATCGCGTTTGTACCGTGTGTACGAGATAGTGGGGTAACACTGATTAAAATTGAAAGTCGATGTAAGAAAAAAACTAGTTGGTATTGGTATTTTGCCTTGAGGCAAGTTACATGAACTTCCCGATATGTGTAAATAATCGAGTTAAAACCTATAAAAAATAAATTAATTTATGAGTGATTAGAAGTATCCCGAGTGGATTTATTACACACAATTGAAAAAGAACGAGCACGTTAACTCGGAGTATTCTCTAAAAGCAAATTTTTCAAAAATCAATAATTTTCATAATTGAACCAGTTTTCGTAGGACGTTAATGGTTTAGTATGTTCATTAAGACCAAGAACTTTATCGTTATACCAAATCGTCTAATTTTAATTTTAACAAACGTCAAAAAAACTACTCATTGTCTCAAACTTTGATGAATTTTTATAATTAAACTACTTGTCGTAAGGCCGTAATATTACAGTAAATTCTATAAGACCATGATATATATCGCCAAAAAAAGTTCCATAAAAATCGGCTTAAATTTTTATTTCAACAGTTAATTAGAAGAAAACGGCTCGGTAGATTTTCACCTAAAACTAATAAGTATCATTCTCAATTATTATATTTCGAACAGTTCTTGATTTTTTTAAAATCGATTCCGTAGTATGAGCTTAAATGTGGAAGAAAAGTTTAACACTTTTTTCCAAATGACAAAGAAACGGCTTGGCCGATCGTCGCACAAAACTGAGCAACGATAATCCTGATCGAGATACATCAAATGACTTTTAAATTTTTGAAATTGGTTCAGGCGTTTTTGAGAAAACGTCGATGAAGGTTCGGGATGTTAAAAAATATGAAAATGAAGTGAGCAAATCAGTATCGCAAATGGTACTAAAGTTCAAAAGCAGTAGAAGATGAATAAGGTAATCTACTGAGGAGTATCTTCGATATTGAGCTCTAAAAATACTTCGAAAGCAGTAGATGCTCTATTGAGGAGCCACGTAAATATAAAGCTCTAATACAAAAAGGGACTCTACTGACGAATAAACTCAACTCCTACACAAAATGAAAAAAATGCCTAGAAAGAAGCAAATTAAATATCGAATTGGATGATAGAAATAGGTCTCTACTGATCAATTTGAAAAAAATAGAGAGATCTACTGACTCCATAGAATATATTGGACTACTGAAGAAAACGTTGCTCAAACAGTAAAAATCACTTAAAGCTCTGCAAGGATCAGACACATGGACTCGAAGAAACTCCTTTATAGAAAAATGACTACTTACTGAAGAGAACTTTGGATTTAATACTGATCGAACACTGGTAAAAGAGTAACCATGGAGGTACCGAATGAAGATGGTGAACTTATTAGATGCGAAGATTTGAAAAAAAAATAGAGAGATCTACTAAGGAATAGAATATTTTGAGGAGCAAACTTCTGATTGACACAAGGAAAAAGACTGTACAGATGAAAAAGTTGTTCAAACAGTAGAAAGTCCTAATATTTGACGTATAGGGATCAGAGACATGGATAAAAATGACTCTGACTCTGAAGAAATCTGAAGAAACTGATTCAAATAGTGATCGAAAACTAGTAAAAGAATACCATGGACGATGAAAAAGAAGGCTTACCCGAATGAAAATGGTGAACCTCTTGGCTGTGAAGAGAAAACACAGAAAAGTGACAGCAAAAGCACAAGACACAAAAGCACTGAAGAATTTCCAGAAGTAATCCTTGAACTATAACTCAAATTCTTGGTACACTCTTATATACTATTGCAAATTTTGAAGAAAAAAATGTACTGCCAAAAACGTTGCTCAAACAGCAAAAAGCTTCAATATTGAATTCCTAGATCTGCAGGGATCAGAGACATGGACTCTAAAATCTGTTAAGAAATGGATCGAAAACTGATCGAAAACTGGTAAGAGTACCATGGAAGGTGAAAAAGAACTGAACCGAATGTAGATGATAGACTTCTTGATTGTGAAACTAAAGTACAGGAAACTGTAGAAGCACAAGGAGTTGGAAAGGTTTCAGGAAAGCCTTGAAAAAGTTCGAAAAGTTAAAAGTGCACTATACATTATAAAAAAATTCAAAGACTATTTTACTTCTTATTTTACAAGAATATTCTATTTCTTTAAAGTCTATTTCTTTAAAGAAAGATAGCAGAAGTTCTAGAAATAAAAAGTGAACTAGAAACCATTAGGTACAACTATTTCTTATCAAAAGTGTAATATCATATTTTCCAAAATCGACTTCATTATCCCCAACATCGAAAATTACACATAGCAAAAACATCAATAAACTGCGAATAGAAATTACAGGAAACTGACAGCATAAGCACAAGATGCAAAAGCACCTCCAAAAGTAACTAGAAACTAAAATGGCTATGTCACAT